AGGGCAGACTGAGATGGCGGCAGTGGCGGGGGCCGCGGCGATAGTGGCGGCGGCGAGCGACGGCGAGGATGGCGGCGACAGTACGTGGCGGTGAGGCGACGGCGGCGGTGGCGGCAGCGGCGGCGGCGGCGGTGGCGAGGGTGGCGGCGGCGGCGACGGCAGCAGCGAGGGCGAGGGTGGTAGTGGCGGCAGCGGCGGCAGCGGCTAGGGCGGTGACGACGGCAGCGGCGGCGAGGGAGGGGGCGAGGGTGGTTGCGGCAAGGCCAGCGTGACGGCGCGGCGACAGCGAGGGCAGACTGAGATGGCGGCAGTGGCGGGGGCCGCGGCGATAGTGGCGGCGGCGAGCGACGGCGAGGATGGCGGCGACAGTACGTGGCGGTGAGGCGACGGCGGCGATGGCGGCAGCGGCGGCGGCGGCGGTGGCGAGAGTGGCGGTGGCGGCGACGGCAGCAGCGAGGGCGAGGGTGGTAGTGGCGGCAGCGGCGGCAGCGGCTAGGGCGGTGACGACGGCAGCGGCGGCGAGGGAGGGGGCGAGGGTGGTTGCGGCAAGGCCAGCGTGACGGCGCGGCGACAGCGAGGGCAGACTGAGATGGCGGCAGTGGCGGGGGCCGCGGCGATAGTGGCGGCGGCGAGCGACGGCGAGGATGGCGGCGACAGTACGTGGCGGTGAGGCGACGGCGGCGGCGGCGGCGGCGGCGGCGGTGGCGAGGGTGGCGGTGGCGGCGACGGCAGCAGCGAGGGCGAGGGTGGTAGTGGCGGCAGCGGCGGCAGCGGCTAGGGCGGTGACGACGGCAGCGGCGGCGAGGGAGGGGGCGAGGGTGGTTGCGGCAAGGCCAGCGTGACGGCGCGGCGACAGCGAGGGCAGACTGAGATGGCGGCAGTGGCGGGGGCCGCGGCGATAGTGGCGGCGGCGAGCGACGGCGAGGATGGCGGCGACAGTACGTGGCGGTGAGGCGACGGCGGCGGCGGCGGCGGCGGCGGTGGCGAGGGTGGCGGTGGCGGCGACGGCAGCAGCGAGGGCGAGGGTGGTAGTGGCGGCAGCGGCGGCAGCGGCTAGGGCGGTGACGACGGCAGCGGCGGCGAGGGAGGGGGCGAGGGTGGTTGCGGCAAGGCCAGCGTGACGGCGCGGCGACAGCGAGGGCAGACTGAGATGGCGGCAGTGGCGGGGGCCGCGGCGATAGTGGCGGCGGCGAGCGACGGCGAGGATGGCGGCGACAGTACGTGGCGGTGAGGCGGCGGCGGCGGCGGCGGCGGCGGCGGCGGCGGCGGTGGCGAGGGTGGCGGCGGCGGCGACGGCAGCAGCGAGGGCGAGGGTGGTAGTGGCGGCAGCGGCGGCAGCGGCTAGGGCGGTGACGACGGCAGCGGCGGCGAGGGAGGGGGCGAGGGTGGTTGCGGCAAGGGTGGGGGCGGCGAGGGCGGCGGCGAGGGCGGGCGCGAAGGCGGCGGATGCGGCGATGTTGGCAGCGGCGAGGGCGGAAGCGACGGCCAGGGGTGGGGGCGGCGAGGACGAGCGCGAGCGCGAGGGCGACGGCAAGGGCGCGGCGGCGGCGAGGGCGGCGGCGGCGGGGGCGAGGCTGGTCGGGGGGGAAGGGAAGGCAGGCTCAGTAGGATTAGTGGGAGGCGAAAGGCAAAGCCGTTGCCGACC